GGGAAAGATTGAAGGCAAAAGGAGAAGGGGGTGGCAGAGGATGAGACGGTTAGACGGACTCACCGATTCACGGATGGGAATCTGAGTGAATTCTGAGAGATAGTGAAGGACAGGGGAACCTGCTGCGCTGCAGTTCATAGGGTCGCAAAGAGTTGAACACAACTTAGCAACTGAACAACATGCCATTGCAATCAATCTGCTGATTGGGGTTACACTCATTTGGGGCTGGAAGGTCTCCTTCAAGCTCACTAACATGGTTGTTAGCAGGGCTTGGTCCCTACTGGCTCTTGACTGAATAACTCATTTCCTCACCTAGCGAGCCTCTCTCTTCACAGACTATTTGAATGTTCCGCAATATGGCAGCTGCCTCAGAGTGAGTAATGAGAGAGAGAGAGAGAAAGGAGACTGAGAAAACAAGACGGAAGGCAAAGTTGTTTCTGATCTAATCTCAGAAGTGACATACCATCATTTCTACTATACGCTATCGGTCAAACAGACCAGCCCTGCTGCAGTGTGGGAGGGGACTGCACAGTGATTGAGACCAGATCTTTGGGGGCCATTGTGGAGGCCGGTTACCACATTGCTTTGCAGGTATTAGCTGGAAACCTATGCTGGAAAATTCTCCTTCATTTACTACTCTGTCACGCTAAAAGATGTTTTGTATGAAAAAGGCAAAATAAATTCTCTATTCTTTCCTTTTCTTTACCACTTTTCAAAATAAGGAGTTGGTTCCCTAGCGTCCACTTATCTGACTAGTAAATTATTTTTAATATCGTAATGAACTCATAAGTGCTTATTGTGTTTCAATCAAGTATACACGTCATTATTTCCTTAGACATTTTTTGTTTTTCCTTTTTGTTTATTTTTATATTCAGATTATTCTGTCTTTGGTTAGTGGTGAAGTCCCTCCTGTTAGCTGTGGTGTCCCTTCAGTGCAAATCCAGGGTTCTCTGATAGCTTCCTCATTTTCTGGTATCACAAGACATTCCAGGCTCATCTTGTACATACCTGTCCTAGGAGTTTCTCCAAAGAACACAGGTTCTTTTTAGTTTGTTTGTTTGTTTTTTGGTTTACTCTTCTGTTTTTTCCCTTTAAAAAATATCATATATTCAAATATGTATAAATACACAAGGCCATATTTCTTGGGAGGAGAAGGGGATGACAGAGGATAAGATGGTTGGATGGCATCACCGACTCAATGGACATGAGTCTGAGTCTGAGCAAGATCCGGGAGCTGGTGATGGACAGAGAGGCCTGGGGTGCTGCAGTCCATGGGGTCGCAAAGACGCAACTCAACTGATAACTTCTCTTGCCTCTTTCTTGAAGTAACGGTGTTATGCTGTTCCTTTACACACTGTTTTATATGTTGCCTTTTTCACTGAATATATCCTAGAGATCATTTTGTAGCAGAATCGATCAGTATTTCTGATGTTTTACATATGTATAGTATTCCTTTGTGGGGATATACCCAGTCCTCTATTGAGAGATATTTGGGTTGTTTCAGCAACAGCATTTTCAAAGGACAAATTATGTGAAAAATATGATCAGAGGTTTAATTAATTTAACAAAGGTTAAGTATTCAAATGAATGTATATAACTCCAGGGTTTTATGTGATGTAATCATTTCCATTCATTCTTGAAATGGAGGTGTGATAGGATTGCAAACTGATCCTGTTTTCAACTACGGAAATGTAGGTGCAAAGAGAGTGAGTTCCATTATACACCCTGGACTTTATTTAGCCTTATATATCCCAATGACTTTTACAATAGAATTTTATTGGTGATTAGAAAGATATATTAGCATTCTCTATTAGCAGTAAGTCACTTCTCCACCTTCAACTGAAACAAAAAATCAAAGTGAGTTTTCGTTCTTTGTAACTAACTCTTTGCCTCCTCCTCTCAACTTCTTGGGCTCATCACTACTCCACCTCCACTTTAAAAGATTTTGCTGGGGATTCCAGCTACACAGACTTCTCAATATAGAGACCTGGTAAATGATGATTTAAAGTACAATATTGGTCTGTGACGGAAACCCCCCAAAGCATTACTGGTATAGACAACTTGAGAATAAAAGTCTCACAAATCCTGAAATAAAAGCATCTACTGTAACCCTCCATTCCCTCCACTCACCCTCAGTCTGGTAGTTGTTACATTCAAAAACAACAACAACAACAAAAGGATTTTAATAATTGGTGTTTATTCTATTCTTTTGAAGGGTCTCTGATAGAAAAGGGGTTGACCAGATGGGCCGTTCCCAACCCTTGTTCATTCATCAGAAATGCAAAGGAATGGCTGGAAAAATTCAGTTCAGTTCAGTTCAGTTCATTTGCTCAGTTGTGCCTGACTCTTTGTGACCCCATGAATCGCAGCACACCAGGCCTCCCTGTCCATCACCAATCCCCAGAGTTTACTCAAACTCATGTCCATCGAGTCAGTGATGCCATCCAGGCATCTCATCCTCTGTCGTCCCCTTCTCTTCCTGCCCTCAATCCCTCCCAGCATCAGGGTCTTTTCAAATGAGTCAACTCTTTGCATGAGGTGGCCAAAGTATTGGAGTTTCAGCTTCAGCATCAGTCCTTCCAATGAATATTCAGGACTGATCTCCTTTAGGATGGACTGGTTAGATTTCCTTGCAGTCCAAGGGACTCTCAAGAGTCTCCTCCAACACCACAGTTCAAAAGCATCAATTCTTCGGTGCTCAGCTTTCTTCACAGTCCAACTCTCACATCCATACATAGCCACTGGAAAAACCATAGCCTTGACTAGATCGACCTTTGTTGGCAAAGTAATGTCTCTGCTTTTTAATATGCTATCTAGGTTGGTCATAACTTTCCTTCCAAGGAGTAAGTGTCTTTTAATTTCATGGCTGCAATCACCATCTGCAGTGATTTTGGATCCCCCTAAAATAAAGTCTGACACTGTTTCCACTGTTTCCCCATCTATTTCCCAAGAAGTGATGGGACCAGATGCCATGATCTTAGTTTTCTGAATGTTGAACTTTAAGCCAGTTTTTTCACTTTCATCAAGAGGCTCTTTAGTTCTTCTTCACTTTCTTTCGTAAGGGTGGCATCATCTGCATATCTGAGGTTATTGATATTTCTCCCGGCAATCTTGATTCCAGCTTGTGCTTCTTCCAGCCCAGCGTTTCTCATGATGTACTCTGCATGTAAATTAAATAAGCAGGGTGACAATATACAGCCTTGACATACTCCTTTTCCTATTAGGAACCAGTCTGTTGTTCCATGTCCAGTTCTAACTGTTGCTTCCTGACCTGCATACAGGTTTCTCAAGAGGCAGGTCAGGTGGTCTGGTATTCCCATCTTTTTCAGAATTTTCCACAATTTATTGTGATCCATACAGTCAAAGGCTTTGGCATAGTCAATAAAGCGGAAATAGATGTTTTTCTGGAACTCTCTTGTTTTTTTGATGATCCAGCGGATGTTGGCAATTTGATCTCTGGTTCCTCTGCCTTTTCTAAAACCAGCTTGAACATCTGGAAGTTCACGGTTCATGTATTGCTGAAGCCTGGCTTGGAGAATTTTGAGTATTACTTTACTAGCATGTGAGATGAATCGAATTAGATTCCAATTCCCAGGCCCATCCCCAGTCCTTACATTCCCTGAGATACTTCTGTTCAGACTTCTTATTTATTTGGCTTAAGGAGTACTAGAAAGTCTTACAACTCCTACTGTTGAAAAAAGAAATGACTAAAAGTAAGTTTCATTTGTATGAAAGATTTAAATATTTTCTCAATAATTACTTTGTTGATTTTATCAACAATGAATGTTGAACATTGTCAAATAATTTTTCAGCTTCTACTGTGCTGATTGTATTGCTTTTATCCTTCATTCTGGTAATGTGGTGTGTCACATGATTGATTTGTGGATGTTGAAATATCCTTGCATCCCTGGAATAAATCCCACTTGATCATGGTGTATGATACCTTTAATGTGTTGTTGACATTGATTTGCTAATAGTTTGTTGATGACTTTTACATCTATGTTCATCAGGAATATTGGCCTATACTTTTCTTTTTTTGTGGCATACTTGTCTGGTTTTGATAATTGGTACTGCCAGCCTCATAAAATGTGTTTGGAAGAGTTCCACCCTCTTCTATTTGAGAGGAGAGTTTGAGAAGGATTTGCATTATTAATAATTCTTCTTTGGATGTTTGGTAGAATTCACTAGTGAAGTCATATGGTCTGGATTTATGTTCATTGGGAGGTTTTTGATTACTGATTCAACTCCTTGCTAGTAACTGGTTTGCTCAAATTTTCCATTTCATTATGACTTGGTCTTGATACGTTGCATGTGCTTAGGAATTTATCCATTTTTTCTAGGTTATTCAATTTGTCAGCCTGTGATTGTTCATTGTATTCTCTTATGATCTTTTGTATTTCTGTGGTATGGGTTGTAACAGCATATCTTTCATTTCTGATTTTATTTATTTGAGTCCTCTCATTTTTCTCAGTGAATCTACCTGAAGATTTGTCAATTTTGTTTATCTTTTCAAAGAATGAACTATTGGTTACATTAATTTTTTCTTTTGTCTTTTTAATCTCATTTAAATTGTTTCTGCTCTAATCTTTTTTTCCCCCCTTTCACTAACTTTGGGCTTCATTTGTTATTTTTCTATTTCCTTATGGTGTGAAGTTAAGTGTTTATTTGGGACTTTTCTTGTAAGTCTAGTTTAGTGGTGATGAACTCCTTTTAAGTTTTGCTTGTCTGGAAAACTCTACCTCTCCTTCAATTCTGAATGAAAACTTTGCTGGGGAGAGTACTCTCGGATGAAAGTTTTCTTCTGCATTTTCTGGACTGAAAAGTTTGTCCTAAAAAAATCTGCTGATTGTCTTATGGGGGTTCCCTTGTATAGAGCTAGTTGTCTGTCTCTTGCTTCTTTTATTTTATTTATTTATTTATTATTATTTTTTTTAAGTTCTTAGTTTATTCTTTCATGAAAAATCTGCACAAGCACCACAGATACAGTCACTGCAGAATCTTTACTCCTTCTTTTTGCCAGCGCCAACATTGGCCTTTGCAGTCCCCCTGACTTTCTTCATTCTGTTCTTGCGTTCTTTTCGCTGTTTTCTTGAGGTCTTTTTCTTCTCATGCAGGCCGTGTCTTGCAAGCCTATGTTTGGGCTCATTCTTCTTCGCGTAATCCAAGGAATCGTAAATCATGCCGAAGCCAGTTGTCTTGCCACCACCAAAATGGGTTCTGAATCCAAATACAAAGATGACATCTGGTGTGGTCTTGTACATTTTGGCCAGTTTTTCCCGAATTTCTGTTTTAGGTACTGTTGCCTTTCCAGGGTGAAGAACATCAATGACCGTTTGTTTCCGCTGAAGCAGCCGGTCGGTCATGAACTTCCTAGTCCGGATAGTTACTGTGTCGTTCATGATGGCGGCTGATCTTCAAGCAGCCAGGGAGGAAAAAAAAAAGCTCTTGCTTCTTTTAAATTCCTTCCTTGTCTTTGACTTTTGACACTTTAAATCGTAAGTTGCCTTGTTGTGGGTTTCTTTGGTAGCGTCTTTTTTGGGAACTCTTAGGGCTTCCTGGATCTGGATGTCTGTTTTCTTCTCCAAATTAGAGAAGTTTTCAGCCACTATTTCTTCAAATAAGATGCCATCCCCTTTCTCTCTTCTCTTTCTGGAAACCCTATAAAGTAAATGTTAGTCTGTTTGATATTGTCCCATAAACTACTGAAGCTATCTTCATATTTTTTCATTCTTTTTTCTTGTTTGCTATTATGACTGAGTAAATTCCATTGCCTTGTCCCTGAGTTGACTGATCTTTTCTTCTGCTCTATCTGGTCTGTGCTTAAACCACTTTAATGTATTTTTAATCTATGTGACTTCTGTTTGGTACTTTCTTATATTTCCCATCTCTTTGTTGAAGTTCTCACTGTGTTCATCTTTTCTTTTCCCTAGTTCAGTGAGTATCTTTATGATCATTATCTTATGCTTTTATTTGGAACATATATCTCTGTTTCTTCATTTTGCTTGACTCTGTTGGTTTCTGTACAGGAAACAACCACTTCTTCCCATATTTAAGGAGTAGGCTTGTGTAGGAGATGAACTTGTTATTCAACCCTGGCTCAGTTCCTGGTTGTCTCTCAAACCTCTGTGCTTGTCCAGGCAGCCTATTATATTTTTAATAGTTCCCAGGAGTTAAGGGTGTGCCAAAACCTGTCACTGTCCTAAAGTGGAGGATCTCAGCACCTAGGTTCAGGCTGACTGAAAGCTGGACCCTCAGGCAGCAGCTTTTAAAATATGCAAATATATACAGTCCTGGGGGCTTCAAGGGTAAGTCCCACTGGCCACCAGAGCCATGATCCAGAGGTGTCCACTGTGTGGTCTCCAGATGAGTGTTTAAGCTCTTTTCTGGGAGATACCGGAAAGCTAGACAAAGCGGAAGGAGAGCACCAAGATGGTGTCCCCAGCCTATCTTCCTTGAGAGCAGCTCAGTAGGCCACTAAATGTGAGCGAAACCTGAAGGCTTCTCCTCAGTTTGAAGCTCTAGGACAAGCAAAACGGCCTCCTTTCATGGAAATGATGGTGGCTGTGTCTCAGTCTACTGTCTATACTGTGTCCTGGACATGATAGTTTGTTAAGGATTGTCCCACCAATTTCCATGTTCCTATATGACCCAGGAACACAAGCCCTTCCGACCACCATAGTTAGGTGATCAAAGAGTATCCCCTGGGCATCAGCTGCATAAACCAGACATGTGTAAAGCTTCCCTCCAGGAGACATAATAAAGGCTCTAAATGACAAGCTCACAGCTAATATCATACTCAACAGTAAACACTGAAATCTTTTCCTCAAAGAGCAAGAACAAGAAAAGGGTATTCACTCTTACCACTCCTATTCAAGACAGTGTTGGAAGTCATAGGAAGACCAATTAGGCAAGGAAAAGAGATGAGGCACCCAACTTGGAAAAGAAGAAGTAAAACTGTCCCTATTTGCAGATTACATGATACTATATATAGAAAATACTACTCTGTCAAAAAACTGTTAGAAATAATAAACAAATTCAGTAATGTTGCAGGATACAAAATCAATATACAGAATTTGTTGTGTTTCAAACACTAACAACAAACTATCAGAAAGAGAAATTAAGAACACAGTTCCATTACAACTGCTTTGAAAAGAGAAAAATACCTGTCAGTAAAATTTAACCAAGGAGCTGAAAGATATGTATACTGAAAACTATAAGACATTAATGAAAGAAGTTGAAGAAGACACAAATGAAAAGATATTCCATGTTTATGGATTGGAAGAATTAATATTTTTATAGTTCAGTTTGCTTGAAACAAGGGACAGAGTTATCACTAATCCTTCAAACCAATGAGAATCTAAGACTCAGTGACTTGGGTTTAGAATTAAACACCCAAATAAGTTTCCTTACCTTGCAGAGAGGGTTATTATCCCCTCTAAGTCTAGTTAAAAAATAAATGGAGAAGAAAATAAAAACAATAATTCAAAAATGTATACATACCCTAAGTTCATTGCAGCCTTTATTGCAACAGCCAAGATATGGAAACATCCTAACTGAATGGATAAAGAAGCTGTGGAATATACATAATGGCATATTATTCAGCCATAAAAAGAATAAAGTTTTGCCATTTGCAGCAACAAAAATGGCCCTGCGGGCATTATGCTAAGTAAAATAAGTCAGAAAAGAAAACAAATACCATATGATCTCTTTTATACTGTATGCAGAATCTAAAATAAAACAGAACAAAAACAAGGTCAAAGAACTGACTAGTGGTTGCAAGATATGGTGGGGGCATGGAGGGTAGGAGAAATGAGGGAACTTTTTTTTAAGTTTAAATAAATTGAATAAACATTAAAGAAAGCAATCCACACTCAGACAATTTTTTTTTTAAGTACACGCCTAGGAAAAAATTATTTAAATATTTTAAAACCAAACCATATAAAACAAATTAGAAGACAATAGAATCAGATATTGATCAAGTTTCTGGATAGGAAATATATTTGTAAGCTTTTAAAAAAAAATTTTTTTTTATTTGTAAGCTTTGAAGTGAAAAGAAAAAAGAAGAAACCACAATGGAAAAGACTGACAAATTTTAATAAATTAAAATTTAAAATTTCTGCACTTCAACAAAAACAATGAAAATAAAATAACCAGAATAAGAAAGCAAAAAGATCAGAAGAAGGGTGATGGGGTGGAAGCTCTAAGATATAATTACCACAGCCAGAAGACTAACATCTTTGTTATATAAAGAACTCATAAAAAATGGTTTAAGAAATTAAGACTTGAATAAATAAATAAACCAACATTTGCAGTGACAAATCACACAAGTATAAACACTGCTATAAACAAATGTGGCAAAAATTAGAGCCTGGGGTATTCACAGAAACACAAATTAAAACAGGGGAAAAATATGGCTTTTTCCCACCACACTAACAATATTTTATAACAATAGTAATTCCTAATCTTGGTGACAGTGCAGAGAACTGATATTGTCATAGATAGTGTTCATCACCACATAAATCTCAGAAAACAATTTGTCAACTTGAATCAAGAGCCACAAAAAATATTTCAAAACTTTGATCTACCAATCCCACATCTGGGAATTTATCCTAGGGAAATAATCTAACAAAGAAAAAAGCTGTTATTGGTGCTGTCCACTGGGTGTTACTGACATCTCAGCAGGTTCTGGATGACCTGTCCCAGAATCCACAATGGTCCTGGTGGGTGGCATTAGGGGACACCCCTCTCCACAAGTGTGTACTTGCATCAGTTGATGTATATGGCAGCTTTGGGATTTTGGTTGAAGAATGAGTAAGAGGTTCCTAGGGATGATAAACATAAGGACCATGAGGGACAAGAGAGTTTGCGTCTCTGCCACCCTGGGACTGGCTGCCTCACTGGTTTTGACTCTTTGTGGAAGAAACAGAAAGAGAAGAATTAACAAAGGGCCATGTGAGCCCACAACATCCAAACAATGTAGCTTCAGGGCCTACATGGTCAAGTGCCATGGGCAACAAAGAGAGAAACATTCTCTTACCCACTCCACTAGCTCTCAGCAGTGTTCCGAGAGGTTCCCAGCAGCAGAGGTGATGCGGGCAGAGGACTCATGAATGGACTATAAGAGGGCGGGGACTCCATCTGATTTTCTGCTGTGTACCCAGGAGTGTCAGGCACAGTGCCTCACCTCCAACATGCACTCAATGTATATTTCTGAATGAGTGGATGAATTTGAGTGGTCTTCACTCACCTGCAGACTTTGGGACATGGGGCTAATCTAGATGAGTGGGGATGAAAGCTGAGGCTCTGCCTTAGTGGGTGGTAGCCTCCATCTGCAAAAGGGCAGTCTCAATGCCAGTGTGGTCCCAACTATAAACATAGTGAAACTGGGAAACTCTGATTATATTTATAGTATTGAAAAATTGCAAGCAATCTAAACGTCTAACTATACAGGATAGAATGTACAATGAATGAAGAGTCAAGCAAACACAAAGTTGAAAAGATGGTTCACAGGTAACCTCAGTTTCATTCTTGGACACAAAGAAGACTAAATTGTCCAGGCCTCTCCACACCCTGCCTTGCCTTAAGATATGGCCTTTTGGCTAGAAGTGATAGTGTTCTGATGGGCTTAAGCATCTAAGACCCCACACATGATTTTCTTTAAATTTATTTTTTTACTGAAGCATAAGAGTACATCATGAGAAACGCTGGGCTGGATGAAACACAAGTTGGAATCAAGATTGCCGGGAGAAATATCAATAACCTCAGATATGCAGATGACACCACCCTTATGACAGAAAGTGAAGAAGAGCTAAAGAGCCTCTTGATGAAAGTGAAAGAGAAGAGTGAAAAAATTGGCTTAAAGCTCAACATTCAGAAAACTAAGATCATGGCATCTGGTCCCATCACTTTATGGCAAATAGATAGGGAAACAGTGGAAACAGTGGCTGACTTTATTTTTCTGGGCTCCAAAATCACTGCAGATGGTGATTGCAGTCATGAAATTAAAAGATGCTTGTTCCTTGGAAGGAAAGTTATGACCAACCCAGACAGCATATTAAAAAGCAGAGACATTGCTTTGCCAACACAGGTCCATCTAGTCAAGACTATGGTTTTTCCAGTGGTCATGTATGGATGTGAGAGTTGGACTATAAAGAAAGCTGAGCGCTGAAGAATTGATGCTTTTGAACTGTGGTGTTGGAGAAGACTCTTGAGAGTCTGTTGGACTGCAAGGAAATCCAACCAGCCCATCCTAAGAGATCAGTCCTGGGTGTTCTTTGGAAGGACTGATGTTGAAGCTGAAACTCCAATACTTTGGCCATCTGATGCAGAGAGCTGACTCATTTGAAAAGACCCTGATGCTGGGAAAGATTGAGGGCAGGAAGAGAAGGGGACCACAGAG